TGACTTATTTACAAAAGGCTTGAGTCGGGGAAGAGTGGACTACATATGTAACAAGCTGGCGAGTATATATCATCATATACTCACCAGCTTGAGGGGGTGTGTTAGCGTAGGGGTATTTCTGTCTTTATACCTTGATTGATGTTGTTGATCTGTAATGTTGTGTTGAAACATGTGCTCTTAACTTAAGTAAGGCACATAGGTCTTTTCAGTTATGTTTTAATAATAATATAAATACTTACCGGCCGACTGGGAGAAGTAAGGATGACTCTTTCAGTTCGAACCAGAATTCTCTCTTCTCTCTCTCTCTCTCTTTCTCTCTTTCTTTATAACTTTTTCTTCTTCTACATAACTGAACTCAGTCAGGACGAACTCTAAGGCAGACCTGAATTATAACAACCACCATGTTCAGCTTGTTCCATCATCTCATCAAACAGATTTGTGAGTGATGCTTCTTGATCAATCCCTTGCTGGGTATTTTGGGCTTGATTAGCTTGTGCAGGTGGTACCCTTGTGCAGTTTGTAGCTTTTTGTCATCCTCTAAGATTAACAGATCCTTCATCTTCACCATTATCATCTTCATGGACAGCTCCGTTGTTTCGTCCTCCATCCCTTTCATTGATTAGGGGTGCTACTTGTTGGATTTCTTCTTCTGTAGCTTCATGAAGTTCTTTTACTTGTGTTTCAAGGGTTCCAACTCTCTTGCAAACGGTAGGAATCAATAAATCTCTTTGTGTATCAGTCAGCCTACCCCTGTACTGCTTGCCACTACATGTAGCCATGATGATAACAACCTATAACCTTGGCTCTAATACCAACTGATGTAGGACCAGCTCAGTTCTAGTCCTTAAAGAATGTTGAATGGTCTTCTTGATCAGAGTTTTGTCGATGTTGATGACTATAATGGCTTCTTGAAGGAATAAGAGAGAAAATAGGGAGAGAAAGAAGAGAAAAATACCTGGAATCACTCACAGGATGCCTAGAATCACTCTAGGGCATGGGAATCACTCATCACAGCTGGCATAAAGCTGAATAAAACTCAATAAACTTCATTGCCCTTGTGTAAAACGTCCATATATATTTAGACTCTAAACTCATAATAATCGTAGGAGTCAATCTGTTAGACTCATAATAGTCTTAGGAGTCAAACTGTTAGACTCATACTAGTCTTAGGAGCCAAACTGTTAGACTCAATGATCCTAGTAGGACTCAAACTAAGCTGTCATATCCTATTTCAATTCAAAGAAGACTCAATAACTCTAATCCTACTTATGCAATGACTGAAATTTTAAATATAAACAAACTATAACTAGACAATCAAACCCTATTATTATTGGGCCCTACGGAAAAAATATTAAATGGCAAAAATACCTTTGGTGTTCAGTTCAGTCCAAATCCCAAGTACCATCACCCATCACTATGCCATATCAAGACCTGTTGTAAGGCTTTCTTCTTTCTAGAATAAGTCTTCAAGGGTGCTAATCGATTCCTATCACATCTATATTGGATTATTTACATGAATCCTGTTTTGCCATTCTGTTCTGTTTAATGCCATATCCATTCTTACATTATGGGTGCCAGAATGATAGAGGGAGCCTTGCCTATTTAACACCATAGCTGGGTGGTGTTTTGGTGGGTCACTTCCAGTGATTGTTCTAGCACACCCTTGCCCGTTTGACTCTATACTGGGGTTAAGGTGTAGCACGTTATTTCCGGAGGACACACTTAGCATGAACACAAAAAGAGTATAAGTCTTGGTGCCAGCTGCCAAAACCTAACACAAACCCTCCTTTAGTTGGGACTGGCAGTGTAAGACGAGCTCACACTAGCAAAAAGATTTTTCTTTTCTGTTTTAATTAGTATCCCAAAATGTTCTTAAAGAAAAAAGCCAATACATGTTTATAYGAACATGCTCATGCTAAATATCATCTCTCTGTCTAGTACATTCATGTAAACTCCATTTTGTATTAGGTTATATCTAGGTAGAAATCCTATTATTTATCACATTTTTCTTTTATTTGCCTCAGATTATGGAGATCCTCAAGTTGGTTAGAAGAGAGCTAAGAGGAGAAACTATACCAGTTTGATGAGCTCTGTTGTAAGGTAAAAAAGTTTTGGTGTACCGTTTAAATCAAAATGGAACTAGATTCGTGTCTGGACCAATTTCTGGATACTACAGAATGGATTTGGAATTTTTCATGGGGTAACATGATTTAATCTCTCAAATCTTCCCTCTTCATGGGGATGGAAGCTTGAGTCCAAAAGCCCATGCAAGTGTTTAAAGTAAACCAACTTTTGGGGGGCATTTTTCTGAATTAAAAATTGAAAGGTTGGAAGAATAATGTCAGTGAAAAACCTTTACGGCTTTACCATGTCAGTTTTACCATCGCCTTTGTCTAAACAATGAAGATTGACAATTTGTGACAACACACGAACTAAAATGTATAGGGCATATTAAAATAGAAAGTACAGGGTATATTTTGAGGATGGCTTTTGCGGTATGAGCTCTAAGTTCGGTTCTTCATGATCTTGGATATGCAGGTTTTGTTTCTCTAAAAGAACTCTAGTTATACCCAGAAGAGTCAGGGATAGGAGAAATTCGATGCACAGATGGTTATGCCAACGTATATGACAAATTCATCAACTTCCACTGTTCCACAGGAAAAACTCAATCAAGCCCAGCTCTCATGACAGGTGTATTCTTTTTTAGTAGAGGATTTTGATTCATTCATTTCTTGCATATATTTCGACCAAAATGTATATTCGTCAATTTTGCAAGCGATCAAGATGAGATATATACCAATGCATTATTTATGTAGGTTTTGTCTTTTTTTGTGTGTGTTTTGTGGGGGGGGATGTTTTTTAGGTTTACTTCCAAAAAAGTGATGTTTTCTAGGTCTAGTTTGAAAGGAGTACAAGTACAAATATATACAGTGCAAATACATACAAAATTCAAGGTTTTACACCATATTTGTTTGAACACTTTTCAAACTGGTCCTTAATATTAAATAATAATTTTATAAGCCCCTTGTGAAAATATGAAACTAAAAAAAAAAAAAAAATAGTTTTTGACTCACTTGAAGTCATGTTTGTTGGTATCGGGTGCATATATATATATATATATTGGAAATGGATGTGTCACAATGTGCTTTGGATGCACACAAATACCGTGGAAAGTTGTCAAGTTTCGAAAAAAAAATATGGTGGAAAGATAGCGGATACTCTTGAATGCATTAGGGAACCTCGTCAAGGTTCAAAGTAGCTCAATACTTGGAAAACTTTTGTACTAGTAGAGTATCAGTGATCCTAAAAAGCGATACATATTGTACAACATACACCGATACATTTTGATATTATGAACCTGGTTGGGAGTTGCAAAATGTAGATGTCGTACAATAATTTAATGCATAAGACAATGTATTATATAATTAATTTAAAGATATATAAGACCCACGAAAATGTACAAGATCTGGCTTATGTGTATGATCTATAAATCAAAGAGTCCAGGACACAAATCAAAAGGCAATTGTTATCTTTTAATTATTTCATCAATGCTTTTATATTTTATTCTTTATAATTTTATAAACTATAAAAGTCAAGTATAATATTTTTTATTTATGTAAATAATCGGTATGTTATTTATTGTAAATTAAATTATTAATTAATAATTTACAAAAATATATAATCTTAATTTAAAATATCAGATCCATTGGAATTTCTAAGATGGATTATTATTATCATGGTTTTTAAAACCGACCTGGTGACCGAACTGGTCAGGGGTCTGGTTACCGGGTCGAATGGTCGGCCTGTTCCGACAAAATAAATAAAACATTAAAAAATTAAAAAAGTTGAAAAATAGTCAAAACCGTTTGAATGGTTCGAATGGTTAATCGGTTGGTTCAGCGGTTTGTTGACCAAAATCAACGGTTTTGGGGAAAAACGGAACCGGTCAGGTGATCAGTTCCCGATTTTTTCGGTCTGACCGTCCGGTCCATTCTGGTTTTGAAAACCATGATTATTATATGTAATTCATAAATTTGAACTACTAAATTAATTATTTTATGTGTTATCTCTATTTTTCCTTATTATAAAAAAATAGAAAATATTTTTTAATGTATTTTACATTTTTCCAATATTTTTGGGAAAATTCAAAGGTCTATTAATAGGGGTTTGGAATCAGAATGGTCCATTCATATTCTAATTGTTTGGTTGGGTGGAATCGGAATCCTATTCCCATTTTTGGTGGATGGCATTTCCCAAATTTGAGGGACAGGAAATGAAAATCCATTCTAGTTGATTCTGATTCTAGTTTCAATTCTTGTTTGAACCAGACAGGTGGGAGGAATATACCATTCCAATTTTGATTATGACTACAAATCAAATGAACCCTAAGTGAGAAAAAACTGCATTCTTACTCTTATTCTTGATTTTAGTGGACTTTTATTAGTGCAAGATGTCAAGTGTTCCAAGTACATCTAAGATGAAATGGAAGTTTTGAAAGTGAAAAAACGTACTCGAAGATTGAAATTAGCAAATATGGATAATTATAATGGCATTTGGCAAGTCTTTTCATGCAGTCCTTTGGGTTTCGTCAAGCTCAAAAGACTAAAAATTGGTCTTTTTCCGTTTGGTAATCAAAAGTTGGAAAGATGAAAAACCCAAAAAGACTGAAAAGGCTGAATTTTGGGAAGCTTCAAATGAAGCTTTTTGGCCTTTTGCATGTTATATAGCCTCTAAATGCATTTTTAAAAGCCCAGTAGACCGAGCTGCTTGACTAAATGGTCTTTGTCTTTGAAGACAAAACCCCAAAAGATCAATATGTCTTTTGACTAGTTAGGTTGCTGGAAGATGTTTCTAAAAGACTTGCCAAATGGCACCTATACCAGCATAAAATTGTAAGATCAAATCCACATATCAGAAAAGGATGAGGAGCACTAGAGAATATGGGAACTATCTCAACCAATTGAACACAACCCAAAAAACAAAAGAATAACAATTTAGAGACAAAAATGAAGTAGCACTAAAGAAGAAAAAGATGGGACTAATTCTCATGAAAATAGACTTACATCCTCAACTTCATTAGGAAAGGGAAGTTTGTTAGCTTCAAAGTTTGATGGTATATTTTTCTTAAATAGTTAATGTGTTTAATTGGCGTTCGAGTGAAACAATAATGGCCCAAAATAAATAGTTTCTTCATTAATGTTCACTACATCCACTTTTTCTTCAAAAAGAAAATGAAATACAACAATCCTCATCAGTTGGGAAGAATGTCAATGCCTTAATAAGTCAAGGTGACTTTGAGTATTGCCATTCGATTTGCCACCTGCATCGTGTATGCTTCCATGCGATTGACTAACTCTTCATAATTGACGTTGGCACTAGTAGCCTCATTCATAGCTTAATGGAGCTGGCGGCTAGTTTCATGTCTGTATGCCCTTAACTCCAATCAGATTGATGTACTTGATAACATTTATTGTAAATGAATAAAAGTGCATAATTGATTCATATGATTTGGTGTGTTTCTATTTAATCCCTTAAACTGGATACTTATGAAACTCGTGTTAGTTTAGAATCTTCACAGCCGTTGGATAGATCTAGAGAGATTTATCCTACCAAAGTTGACACTAATGTGCTGCTAAGTTGGTTTGGGTGGCTTGTCTCAGCTGCCAAGGTGAGACCTGAGGTACATGTAGTGTGGGTTTTCTTGAAACCTTAAATCGGACCAAATTCCAGTATTGCCCTAGACATTGGAGATATATGGGCAAACTGAAATGTTACACTTGACCCCTAGACTCGGTTATGATATTGCACTAGGTGTCAAATTTGGCTATCTTTGATATGCCAATCAGTGAGATCCATAGAGGGGGTCAAAACCTAAATATGTTGGGACAGTTTGAGAATTCACCTGAGTAGGTAATCATAGTGACATGATCAACCCCTTTGTCGGACAAAGTGAATGATCGAGGAATGCACTATCTTTTTTGGAAACCTAAACTGTCGGCAGTGGATTTCAAATGTGTTTGAAATTTGTTTTGCAAAATATATTTATATAGAAATATACATATATATATATATATATATATATATATATATATATATATTATGATTTCAAATTGTTTGCAAAAGGTTTTAATTCCCGGGATCCATGTGAGTAGAGAGTACAACACTGTACCTTGCAACTGAGGGAAAAATCCTCTCTTGTCGGGTAGTGTTTGATCATTAAGGGAGGAAAGGTTAAGTATAAGACTATTTAGGGATAATAAACCTGATGGGCTAATCTCACATAAGTGAAGGGATTCGAGATCCATCATATGGATGGCCGAATCTTGCAGGTAGGTTGGGCGAAATTTCAAAAATTTTCTCTTTCCTCATGTGGGAATCACATTCCCTGTTTTAGAAAATCTACATTTTCAAGGATCAATCTTGAACCGTAAACCAAACCAGATCTGAAACCAGAAGCAGGAGAGGGATATACCTGATACGGAGAACCAGTATTTCCCAATGGAGGCGTTCACGCCCAAGGAAGGATCCAAAAACTACTCCCACTGAAGATGACGCAGTGTAGGATGGAACAGAATCAGCAATGTTCGTCCAACGAACCGAACCCTTTACAAGAAGTCGTTGGAGGCTATGAACACAACTTCAGATCAGCCTTTCTCCAAAGGCTCATATCAAGATCCAATCTTGATCGTTCCTACTTGAAAGAGGAAATCGAACTGGTAGTAATGGCGGCGGCAGGAAGGAGGCGGCAAGGAGAAAATAGCTCAGTCTCACTGGGTGCTGTGATCTCTCTCAGATTTGAATGTGATGATCTTCTAAAGCTGACGCTCCCTTCTCCTTTTATAACCTTAAAGGGTGTTAGACAGTTTTGTATGCCCTTAGCTTCAATCAGAATGATGTACTTTATGAGTTTATTGTAAATGAATAAAGATACATATTTGATTCATGTT